TAGTTGAAATTATTTTACAATTTTTTTATATAAATTTTGAGTGCAATTACAACAAATTGTGAGATTTCAGAATACAATTAAATAGCTAGAATGACTATTAAGATAAATTAAGGGGTTAAATACTTACCTTCAAACTTAATATAAATTTAAAAGCCATTCACGAGTTTTATCAAGGATCTAAAGTAAACACTAATGCTTTTTCAACAAATTTTCCATTACTATTTCAACAGAAAGTCTTGAAAAAATTAGCCCAATTCATCTTAATATATATATAATGAATATATATATATATGAATATAAGTTGGGAGATTGCCTGGATGCATATTAATGAGGATATTCAATATGTTAGTATGACGTGATTGCTGGCAGTAAGTACTGGTAGTGAAAACCTGCTTGTATTTTTGAAGTTGTAATTGTCTTCAATACTTGAACTAGACTAGACAATTGACTTTGGTAAAGATCCTAAAACCTATTACATTCGTAATATAAGGGTAATATTGTACAGAATACTATACTGATTACTATGGAAGTAGATGTCATATGTAAAGGGTTTTCTGATTTGTTATGTCTTTCAAACTGACAAGAGATGAAGCAAGACAAGTCTCGCATTGCAATACTAGTTGACCATATTCAGTCTCAAAAATGTAGGTATAACTTTTCTGTTATGCTATGTCGATTCCATTGATCACTTTCAAGAAATATTTTTTTAATTTATTATCATTTGTCACTTTTTGGACGACAGGACGGGAACACTTCTCTACGAAGCCATAAGTTGCCTCTTTTATTTTGATCCACTGAAAGTACATATTCAAAAACGTGAATTTAAACATATGCTCGACCAATAGGCGAGGCAATAATTGCTATAACCGTATTTTATCAGTTTTGTTTAATCCTCATGTCAATTGCTGATTTTGAAGGACATTGGAACGAAGACATATGTTACAGGTCCCATTTTAAATGTTATATATTTGCCACACTTGTTTTTACGAATGCTTGAGCATATATCATCACAGAGTATTGAATTTCCTTCATTGTTTCTAAACAAAATCTGCCAATCATAGCAAACAACTTTAATCTAATTAAATGTTTAATCTAATATATGGTTTGTGCAATATATATTATATATAGGTATATCTTATTATTTTCCCACACCTCATTCTTAGCCCAATGCCGATTCTCGAGGACATCGGAACAAAGTAAATAGAGTATTACAGTTTAAATATTAAACATTGTATAATTGAGAAACTTGTTTGTCGATGTAATGGGAAAACATTGATGTCATGAATTACTTTTTTAAATTGAATTTTTAAATTTGTATTATGTATGCAATTATATGAAATTGGTATTTTTGTTAATTACATTAATACTTACAATGATGAAATACAATAAGTTAGTATAACGAGATTACTGGCGGTGAGTATCAGTAGTGTGAACCCGTTTGTATTTATGAGTTTATTCATGTCTTTAATATCCGTACTAGAGTTGACAACTGACTCGCGTTAATATCGAAAATTATGTTTCATTTGTACTGTTGGGTAACTATTACAGAAAACACTGAACTGAATAATTTGGGAAAGTAGGCAATATATGTTAAGGGTTTTCTGAGTTAATATACCTTAACACCTGACAAGAGATAATAATACAACACAAGTCTCAATTTGAAATTATATTTTATCATATTTTCACTCACAAAATGGAGGTAAAATCGTTAGTAATACTAGTACTTCAGTAAAATCTGTATTGCTTCCAGTGCTTTATTTCTAATTCTATTTTTCTATTTTAATATTTTTGTAACCTTCTGGACGACATCACGGTAACACACTTAACGACACTTTTATCCATTTAAAGTACGTATTCAATAAGGTTTAGTTGGTTATTAAAAGATATGCTCGACCAAGATCGAATAATAGGCTAGGATATAATTGCTATATTCATGTTTTATCCGCTTTTTACACTTATCATGCAAATTGATGATTTTGAAGGACATTGGGACAAAGAGATATGTTAGAGTTCCCATTTGAATATTTGCAATTGCCACATTACGGTGTCCCAAATTCTATTTTTTTTTCTAAACAAATCATAGCAAGTATCGCAAACACAACTATAATAAACAACAATGTCAAGATCATGCAAGATTGCATAAATATTTAAAGTGTTGGGATGCATTTAAATTGCATTTTTACGCGATTTATTCAATTATTTAACAGAAAACACGTTAAAAGTTGAAAAAATAGCATATTACATTTAAAAATAAATATAAATTGTTTTGTCCTATCTCTTAGTAATTAAAAATTTCTTGCTTAGTAATAATTTCTATACTGATTTTGAAGGGCAGTTGGACAATAAACAATGCTTGATTTGGCGTCACTTGTCTAGGAGATGACACTAACAAAATGTATCAGGTTCCGGCTAATTGTTTTGAAGCAATGACACAGCTAACGCAACTGAACCTAATAGGTATTGGGTTTTGTTTGTAGCAGTTTTAATTATAATATTTGCCTTATTGGTCTTTATTAAAATTTCATTTCAAAAAAATAATAAATATTAAATTTTGCTGAAATTATTCGCTATAAATTGAAAAGCTTGTTGACAAATTTTGCTTTTGAAAACTTCAGTAATGATTCTGTCGTTAAACTTTATGTTTTAAATTTTTTTTGAAATATTTGGTATATAAAAATCTAAATTAGATTAGAGTTGTTTGCTATAGTTACTAGGCTTTGTTTAGAAACAAAAAAACGTAATTCAAGACACCGCAATTATATCTTCCCAAGCCGTCGTCAAAACAAGCGTCGCAGATACAAAACGTTCAAAATGGGAACTGTACCATATCTCTTCGTCCCAATGCCTTTCGAAATCAACAATTAGCATAAGGAGTGGGAAAAGCTGACAAGAATATGATCATATCAATTCTTGACTTGCCTGATACATTAGTTCAGTCGATCATATACTCAAACAAGAGAGACAATTTTCTTAGCTCTGCTGCATATTCACGAACCGCTTCAGAAAACTTTTGATCTCTTCTGTGAAATGCAAACCTTCCCACAAAACGGAACGTTTCGGTTTTAAATGATCTTGCAAGGTTTTCTTTATAACATCATATGTTTTGGAACTAGCTAAGTCGGGTGCCAAAAGATTGTGTAGTATTTGGTAGGTTTCAGTAGGCAAGTTTGCAATTAACGTTGGTACCTTTTTCTCATCGGCAATATCATTTGCAATAAAATACTGTTCTAACTGCTCACAATAAAGTGGCCAATCACTCCCATCATATTGAATCATATTTTTAGCCATTTCTTTGATTTACAAGGAATTAGATACGCGGTCCCACATATAAACAACAACAGTGTCTCACTAACGTCTTACCAATCGCTGTAAATTTACGAATAATCGACATGTGTGTATCCCATTCTCGTCGCCAGTTTGTTGTGTTCTTAAGCCCCTTTTGTTTACAAGAAATACACAAATAATAACGTCGTCGCAACACCCTTAATTGACCAACTCAAACTACCGACTGACCGGAAACTCTGACCAAGGACTAAACGTGTTAAGTAAATTGCATCACATGTGCGATTAAAGACGTAATAAATACACCACATCACAGAGCGTCCTGCTGGCGCACATCAGCTGATTCCGTGTTCGGCGTTTGCCAGTGGATCTAGTACTTAGCGAAAGTGGAAAGTTTTTTATGCCGAACGGTGGACTGTGGTTTGATTTTCGGAAATTGGCGAATTGCTCATTGTGTCCTTATATTTGAACATAGCTTTATTGTTTGAGTATATGCTCGACCAAGATAAGGTATTGAGCAAGGCAATAATTGATATGATCATATTTTGTCAGCTTTCCCACTCCTTATGCCAATTGTTGATTTTGAAGGGCATTGGGACGAAGAGATATGTTACAGTTCCCATTTTGAACGTTTTGTATCTGCGACGCTTGTTTTGACGATGGCTTGGGCTTATATTATTACGGTGTCTTCAATTACCTTTTTTGTTTCTAAACAAAGCCTAGTAACTATAGCAAACAACCCTAATCTAATTTAGATTTTTATGTACCAAATACTTCAATAAATATTTAAAAGTATTTTATACCATGTTTTGTTTTGTTATGTATTCAAGTATCACACTATTGATAAAATTGAAATACGACGAAACAAACAATCATCGCGTATTTTTGAGTTGATTGGTTTTAGCGATTTTATCAACATACAAACGAAATATATTTAATGCTTTTTAGGTTGTTATATCTTCACGTGCCTGACAAAGGACCAAACAAATAATTTTAGTTGAATGTGTTGTCTCTCACAATATGAGCGTAATCTGACCTTGGTAATTTTTCGGTACTGATTTCAATGACTTTTTTTATTTTATTTTTTTTTTCATTTTACCTTCATGGAGACAGCATAAGAAATTACTTATATTTGCTTCATGACAAAGTCAGGAATGCCTCGCAGTTCATATTGAGCGTTTTGGGTAGCAAACCTTCAAAAATATTTTATTAATTGTCTTGCAGTGTCTTTTACAAATAAAATATTGTGATTACAATCGTGGGAAAAATAGACGTGTTAGTATTTGATAGTTACAATGGCATAGAATGATGTGAAAAAATACTAGAAATGTAACATATTGTTTATATATAAGATATCTGTACAATTGTTTTATGGTTATAATCGAACAATTGACTTATTGCCATTTGACTCCTTTCATTTCTCAAAGGCAATTATGCGACACCCTGCAATTTTTCATATTCTGTATTTAGAAGGCAACTTGGCATAGTATAATGTTATCTTTTTTAATTTTTCAATTTGCTGTTTAGTGACTCTCGTTTTGACGATGTCAGTGATAAACATCATGACATATATAAATGTGTGTTGAAATAATGAAATAACAATAATGAGAAATCTATACTACTGAATGAATAATAATTTGAAAATATAATGATCTATTTTATTCTTTTTTTAAATAGAAATACAATTTATGACATAATTACAATGTTTTAATAAGGAAATGGCATGTGGTGGCAAACCAATTTCAAAAAAGTTGTATACTCGCGAAAATTATGAAACAGCTGAGGTCTCTTCTGGCAAAAGACAAATAAGTGAGTTTTACACAGCAGTTAACTGATATGGAAAGTATTTTGGCTGTTCAATTCAACAATTATTTCACAACATCGTATCAATGTATCCACGAAGAGTCAAAGTATCTTGATCTTGACAGACAATGAAGTAACAATATATTATAAGCGTGGAATCAAACTTGGAAATCAGACATCACACTATTTCTCTTCACTATTATCTATACCAGGGGTTTGTAAACTGCGGCCCGCAAAGAAGAATGGTGCGACCTTCGGAGAACCACCAATCTTAAATGATGTACTCGAGAAACGAGTTTTTAGTTTAGTTAATCTGGTACGTGCAAGCAATTCTTATATCTTTGCGTCGCAAAGCCCATACCAGTTCACGAGTTCTACTGTTATATTAGTAATACCAGCTAGCAAAATCCTGTAACAATGTTATAAAAAATGTGTTTTTTGCTAAATTCGTTTGAAGTCGACGTGACAATAAATTTAAATAGCAGTTTTCTTTGAAAATTTATGCGTTTTAATTCATAATTTCTGCAAGGATCTGTAACAATGCCGTAAGTTCAATAAAAAAAGTAACAATTATTTGTGTATGCAATTATTAGAAAGGCAATCTTAAAATAAAGTTGCGGCCCGTGGCTTCACCTCGTTTCTTGTATCTGGCACTCCTATAATGGAGGTTGCACACCTCGGATCTATACAATTAATATTTGACCCTACGTTACTGGTCAACAAATTTTGTGTACGTGCGGGCCAAATATACACATTTTTGGTAGCATGCGGGCCGCATTATCGATGTGGAGAATGATGTTGTTTCTGTATCATAACATATTTAGGATAAAGCGTTGAAACAAATGGCAAAAGCTTTCCACAGCAATATTTAATTCGAACGTTCACATTACACGTTTTGCACTGTGCAATCGTGTTTAACATTGAATCTCCTATCAGTATTAAATATTGCATTGTTGACTTGACAAATATTGCAAACTTGTTTTGAAATGCGCAAGAAAGAAAAGTATTATGCCGTCCAGGCACATTGGAATGTTCGAACCTCGTCGCAAACTTCCTTTTGTTTGAATTTTGAAAATCGAAATTAACTTGACGTATAAGTAAGATCAACGGTGGGTCGTTCATCAAATAAACGACATTCAGCTGACGGTACTTAGTACAAAACAAGCATGGTGCAGGGACATTTGCTACGGTATAGAGACAATAATAAATTTAATATCAAACTTTGTTTTATGCATTAAGTGTCTTTGAGGGCCGAAAAAAAATTAGATGGCCGCGAGCCGCAGTTTGGCGACCCCTGCCCTACGTCATTGATATATATGTTTATTTATATCTTATATATGTTTTTTTTTTAAACTTTATTCGATTCGATAGAAAAATATTTGAACTAAGTTAAAGTGACACTGGCATTTCAATGATAATGGCCATTAACTGTATATGTTTTTAGATATAACTCTATACATTCCACAGACGATCCAGACCATAAGATTATACCCATTGCATACGAAGAGGATAGTCATTTACAATTAAATCTCGATGCCTTGAAAATCGTACTCTCGAACCCCTTGATAGGTGATAAACCAATATCTATCATTTCTGTTGCTGGACAATACAGAACAGGGAAGTCTTTTTTGCTGAATTTCTTTATTCGGTATCTACGAAATAAAGGAGTAGGTTGTTACTTTTCAAATTTTGATTGATCTTATTTTTCAGTCAGTAATTTATGTCAAATTCTTGAAAAATATTAATTCTTTTACACCAATCAACTTTGATAGAGAACCTTTTACATTTTCACTGTGATTGAACAACAACACCGCCTGTTAAAATTCAGTTGCAAGTATTTTATAATATAATGGATAAAAGTTAATTGAAGAATCACTACGAGACAATTATTTATTCACAATTATAACACACGAATCTCATCATCAGAGAAAAATTCTGCTATCCTTTATATTATTCATTTTTAGTGGAAAAACTGTGATTGGATTGGAGACGAATCAACCAAAGTTACAGATGGAATTGATTGGCAGAAAGAAACAGAAGCGCATACGAAAAGAATATTAATGTGGCCAGAAATTTTTGTTGTGAAAGATAGAGGGAATGAGGTATGTAATATTTAATCTATGTGATATTCAACTGACAACCATTTTCAATACATTCAAACAAGTCATAATTAAAATAAAAGTGTCTATTTATCAAAAAATGAATAAAGCAATGTAAAATAAAACAAATGTTTGTTTGAATTGACCTATTGTTAAAATTATTTTTGTTAAGTTGAAAAACATAAATTGCTCAATATTTTTTATTCCATTTACCTACAGGTTGCTATTCTTCTAATGGATACTCAAGGACTGTTTGATACAGATACAGATTCGGACACAAATGCAAGGATTTTATCCGTCAGCACTCTGCTGAGTTCACACCAAATACTGCATTTGCAGGTTTGCTAAATGTATAAATTTGATTTATGCACAAATTTGCTTGTGTAAAACTGAATGTTTATATTAACGAAAACTAAATAAATGCGAGGTATTATTTTTAAACTTATTTTGTGCTTGTAAATTTGTGGGAGTCATCAAACATGATCGCAACAATGCAATTTACAAATTTGCCAAACATCAACTATTTATGTTCTTGGGTTTAACATGAAAATTTTCAACTGTTAAACAAAACATATTAACAATATGTAATTTTAATGATATTTATTATAACCATATTTTGGCAAGGTGATTCTGTAAGACTCAATTTCACGTAAAAATCCTGTTAACTATTGGATACGAAGTAACACCTATATATCATCGTTTTGTTATTACTATGCTATTTCTGCTGTTTTAATGTTGTTGTTGTGGTCAATATTATTTTTCTTGCTGTTGTGATATACTCTTTGGTATTTTTTTATGTACTTCCGTAGTATGTGTACCGTAGTATGTGAACCAGGTTAGGGTTAGGACATCATTTTACTCTAATTTTCCTTATTTTAGTTCTATTACGAGTTCGGGGACTAGACAAGTGACTTCCGTAGTATTTGTACCTGAGTTTAGGACCTAACCCTAAACTGGTACACTGCTAGACCAAGGGTGACGAACCCCTCTTCTATTGCGGGTCCTTTTATAAGTCACCGCTGAGTGAGCGGGCGCACAACTTTTTAGTCATATCATGATACCTATTAATTTTTTTCAACATGAACGAACAACTGCATTCATACAGCTGAAGGTATATTGCAGCATAAGATGAAAATAGAACATTGTTTGCATGTTTTACATAGTAATATTAACATAGTGATATATTTGGAAACTTTTTTGCTTTACTGAACGCGTCATATTGGAACAACTTGACGATTTGGAAAGTCTCAACTATCATGGCTGTGATATTTCGTAGTAATGTTCTTTTGTCGACGCACAATCAAATTACACACAATACAATTAAAGTAATAAAGCAGGACATTTTAAATAGTCTCGTATTTTTCGTCAATTAAGTAGATTACTTTTTGCGCAAATTCAAAATCAATGCCTGCCTAATCGCGGCCTAACCCTAACCTGGTACACATATTACGTTCCAGTGTCCGCCATCTTGGTTCACATACTTCGGGAGTAACGAAAACACCACCGCCTCCGCTCGAAATGAAAAATCTAGTAACTGTATTAGGTCGCTAGGTCGCGGGCTAGAAATGAAGATTGCGCCGAAAATTCAAATTCTCAAATTTTTTCTAACTTTAAGCACAACTATATAATTACTAATTTGTTACTTCGGAACCTTTAATTTTTCTAATTTCGAATTATCGGCGACGGTTTTGCGCAAAAAATCCATATTTCGGATACAGAAATTATAAACAATCCAATCTTTCAAAATTGAGCTTCAGATCTTTCATTGTTTTAATCATTGATCTGAAGTTATAAAATGTTATTACTTTTAGATGTCCCGTGTATCGTGCACAAAAACGGCATTACATTTTTACGAAGTTAGGTTACCCCACTCCATTAAAACGATTGCGTTGCCGATACGATGACGAAACTAGGCTAAGACAATGTTTATTTTGATCCTTCGTTGATTCAACAAAACAAGTTGTATTGGAAATAGCATTCCCAGTAATATAATTAATACTGGAGCTCCTGTTTCTATGTACATTTCCTGATAGTTTATGACTTCAAGCCAAACATGCACTGAATCGCCTGAATGCTTCGCGGGCCGCATGCGCCTCTCTTACTCAGGTTCTTCACCTCTGTACTAGAACAATTGCTTTAAAATCTTTAATGGCTAAAGATTGTTGCTGTCGCTAGAAGTTTCTTATTTTTATTTATTTATTGTGGGCTTTATGGTATTTTCTTTTGGTTGTAATGACCTCATGAATATTAAAAATTAGGCACCGTATGACTGCTCGGCATTTGTATTAGCGATCGTAATGCTAGTCAGTAGGATGTATCGATATTAAAAAATAATTTTACTACGTTTTTGTCTATGATACCCAAAAATTAAGCATTGTTCTACTGTTTTATTATTTTAACAATAGTTTTCTTAAAGAAACATCAGAAATATCATCACCATGATATTTTACGAAAAATTGAATATATAATAAAATACCCAGCTGGAATTAGTCATTTGCAATAATCGGTTTTATAATTTTTTAGTTATGCAGTAATCATGCAAAAGCTGCCACGAGAAACGTGAGAAAAGAAAGTGTCTTCAATGAGCCGTTTCAGGTATAATTGACTCAATAATATAAATTGCAACCAAATAGTATACTAAAACATTTTTTTTATAGAATTTCATTCATTGAAAATAAGAAAACTTCTTGAAAGCAATTTGTTTTTCCTCATTTAGACTTTGACTTTTCTTGTTTGTGACTGGCAATATCAATTCGAGCATAAATATGGTGATGGCGGCATGGTCTATCTAGATGGAATTTTGATTCGAACATCAAAATCAACTGAAGTAAACAGCGTGAAAAAATCAGTCCGAAATGCTTTTAGTAATGTTCGATGTTTTTTGATGCCTCACCCTGGAGATGATGTGCTCAGAAGGAGTAAAATGAATGTTACAAATAAAGGTGTGACTGACATAATTCATTTTTTTCCAAAATCTTTAAAATTCATTTTACTGATATGTAATTTTTATGAGAGTAACTTGAAATGGGCTGGTAAAGTTGATAAACAAGTAGATAATAAGATTGTCTCCTATCAAATATGCTAAAAATAAATAAAAAGTTAAGATATTTAAAAAATATAAATTTAAAGATAAATTGATAGTCAATATTTTATTTTTCAAGTGTAAGCTAACTTACATGTTTGGCTTAAAACTGTCGTCCGAAATGCAAACTCTTTCTCGCCGAAGAAATTTAGCCTCAGTAATTTTATTTTAGGCTACTTTTATAGACAATATTTATTCAAACTTTCTTAAAAAATTCAACAAAGCTGTTAATTAAGCCGTTAAACTCGGTTGGCTGTCATATTTCACCAGTTTAATGTACATATCAATTAAAAAAAGAATTATATATTCCAGGATTGTTTATATTCGTGTATCTTTAACATATGGTTATTATTTATATAGAACTTGGTGAAGATTTCATAACCATGGTTCAGGAACTTGCCACAAAAGTTTTACATCCAAAGAATCTGGTCATCAAAAAAATCGAAGGTAAAACGTTGACTGGAAATCAGATACTTGAACTGATGTCTACAGTAAGTGATTGTTTCAAGCGGGGACAGCTGCCAGAAATCAGGACATTATATGAGGTGATTTAATGGATTTTATGTTTTTCATTTGTTGACTGTTGTTTTGATGAACATGTCACTAGTTAAATTAATTTTTTGCGGTTGAAATGTTTCAGAGAAAACTTTATTAACTATAGGTTGAACAAGAAATTGTTTAAACTCATATTTTACACTATTAGATAGTTTACGTTAAAAAAATATTTCGTTAGTTTTAGAATTTATATACCTGAATATTCCAGGTACATTCACATAATTTTATTGAATTATTCTTGGCATTGATTTTTTTCATACGTTCCATGCGCTGCCGATTCGCAATTTATAAATTTTCAACTAAAGTTCAGATGCATTGTGTTATACAGGAAGCTGCACATTCATTCAACACAAAAGTAATGCAGGCATCTATTGAGCAGTATAAAGTTGAAATTTAAGAAGTAAGCTTATTGCCTAATTTTATTTTATTCCCCAAAAAATTTGGAAGATATTATTTGACAGGCAACAAGCTTTTACGTAATTATCGTTAATATTGTTGTAACTACTTTTTACCCAAAGCTACATGGTCCTATAAAACAGCCACTAGTACCTGACGATAAGTGAGAAGCAACTATTATCATCTGGGTCTCAAATCTCTCCGATAAGGCAATGCCTACCAATATTTTTGGCGCTTCTAATGTATTCACACCAAGATGACGCAAAACCTGAACCATGACCTGGTGAACATACCATGTTCAGGTTGTGCGCCATTTTGGTACGAATACTTCGGGAGCACCAATTTTTCAACTATTCTGGACACCATACGGAATCCGATGTTTCAATTACCTAGTGTCGGCTGTACCTTGAATCCTTTGTTATTATCAATTGGTAATTTATATTGTTCTAACATAATATCCTAATTTATTTATTAGAGTTGCAAACAAGCTGTTTCAATGTGGAAACTGGAAAATTATCACGAGAAAGCAATGAAAAGCGCAAAACGAAATTTTCAACAAAATGCAAAATTTGGAAGTGAAGTTATCAAAATCGGTTATTTGAGACAAACTGAATTAACGTGCAATGAGTATTTTTCAGAGATGAAGATTCGGAATTTGCGTTTATTCGTAAGATAAAATCACATTCCTCTTCATAATGCTTCACACTCAACATTGAGAAACCGATTATAGAACATCAGCTGACTTTTTGCACCATATGTCTAATCACTTCCGATTACCACTGCTTTGTTGTGACTTCACTCACATATCTTTTTACTAATCATAATTTTATACTTTTAGCATGTTGGTCATTGTATGTCGTTGCAGATGACGTCAAAAAAGTCTTAAACTTCTATCCTCAGCATTATAAAGTTTGTTCATGGTATTTATTTTTATCTTCACAGAGAAAACAAATTGAGGTCGCATCATCAGCAAAAGAAAGTTGTCTGTATGTCTATCAAAGTAACATGAATAAGGTATCTTCTTAGTAGTATTTTATGTCAAATTTTACTATTTTCTGAAATGCTGTGGACGATTGAATTGAATTGAATCAATTCCATAGTATCAGTGTTTTGATAGCCAGGGTAATACATGTTTTGTTTTTTTTCAGAATTAATTTATCGTTTAGCTTTCAAAATGCAATACAACATTAATAATAAAAATAAAATAACAACATTAATTTTTCATGTATTAGTTGCTATAACTCTGAACTATTAACCGTCCACAAGACACCATTGCCATTGATTCGCATACAAAACAATTGATCGGAGATTTAGCTGTAGCGCCATCTCGGTGAATGTAGTTTGTATACATTGTATGTCATTAAGTAGGAACGTATAAGAATTAAACAAACATCGCGTAATAAACAAATAGCATTTATTGCTATAACATTTATGAACACAAAACTATATTTTATATAGATCGCGATAAATCTGACTTAAACATTCATAATAAGTATAAATGAGTTCAATTGCCTCTAGTGATTATTGCATGCTTCTATAGTTGACATTATAATATTACAGGTTTTCAAAGATGAAACATTGTCTCCTCGTAATCTTCAAATGTTTCATGACAAGCATCGAAAAACAGCTCTGCGATTACTACGAAGTGAAGTTGCATCTTTAATATCTGATTATGATCAGATCTTGGTATATGAAACGGACCTTGAAAACGAAATAAAACAAAAATATCACGATTTCCAAGTGATAAATCAGAGAAGCCTTGACCTGAAAAAGGTGAAATGCCTTTACACTATTTTACAGTCAACATTTATTCTAGGCCTGGGGAACAAAACATGTAAAGAATCTTTACTCTCATACAAAAAATTTAGTAGCAGTATCGAGTATATTTTCAAGATACAAGGCTTTGAGTCACGGGGTCTTATTAATAAAAGTCGATTAATTGCTCAAGAGAATTTTATCAGTTAAAATATGAATGAATACAAAAATGAATACTCAAATGGGTTGACACGAAATAAAACTCATAAACATCATACTACAAAGCCCAAGTCGTAGATGATCACGCTTGAAGGCATAAAAACAGTGCTACAAAAATAATTTTTAATTACCAATTTAGCAAAACAGCCTATATAAGCGTGTGTATATGCGTGTCAAGTAAGCCACATCAAAAACTGTGAATAATTCCTATTTTGTATTTTGGCTTCAATATCATCTTATGGTAGATTGGGTTTTATTCCAGCAACAAAAAGAACTGACTCTTAATGAACATGAACAGGCGGTAGAAGAATTTTTACAATCGATTTATGGGGTAAGTTTAGGCTGTTCTGAAGGTAAAATTTTGCATATATATTCCAATATCTAAGCTTAAGGTATGAAGGATGAAGATGAAAAGCTCAAATAGAAAATCCTTGAGACTTGGGTATTTGCCCTGGTTGGCCATTGTATCTACTAACTTAGATGAATATTGGTATGTTAGGCAGTGGTTCCCAACCTTTTTACCCTGGCGGACCGGTAAAATTAAATTAAATGTACTCGCGGACCGGCAAAAATTGGAATGTTCGGAACAGAAAAGAGTAACATATATGTGCTTAATATAATGCAATGTCGGGCACTCAATATGCTTTTAGACAAAAAAGGCACACTCGAAAACATTTCACACGAAGAAAAACTATCAAATATTGTGTCGGCCAAAAATTGAAATAGGTGAAACATAAAATAATACCATATATTTGCGTAATGAAATGCAGTGTTGGGCACCCATTATGCGTAAGAAAGGCATACATAAAATATCTCACATAAAAAAAACATGTACATGCCAAATCATGTAAAAACACAATTAACTCTAGTGAGAATTTTGCTGTTGTTTCGTTTTCAATATAAAACTGCAAACGAGGCATCAAAGAAGTTTCTGCAACACGTGGCTCTGCAGCGGCGTGTAGCCGATTTCTGTACTCCGTTTTATTCAAGCTCTATCTTTTTCATCGGGTTCATAATATTAATCCCTCTGCAGTTGACCGACGGCTCAAACGAAATGAATTTACATTACAATGATAAAGTCGTCGGTAACTTGTCAAGTTGGCACCAGGATCAATCCTACTGTGTCTGCTCAGAATACTGGGAAAGATCTCAGCGGGTCATGCTTTTTTGCGCATCTCGTGACCACCTGCAAGGTCGCACCAAGTTCATATCTTACTGGGATATTATACTGTTCTTTTCTGTTTTCTGGTTCAAACACAGAAATATGCATAACGTTTTATATGGATTGTCATATTAATCAGGAAAAGCATGCAGAACAGAAGAAGCACGCCTGCCGATTTTTAGGTTTCTGAATCTTGCGAGATTTGATGAAGCACATTCGCGATAAATCGCAGCCAAAAAAGCGAAAAGTGTGATTACTCGGCGCCAATATGTCGCGAAAGACGTCGCCAAGATGTCGCAATATGACGACGGAAGAGAAATTGCGCAATAAACAAACGCAACCTCGTCTTCGGTAAAGCGATTGAGACGGCATAAAAACAACAAAACAACGAAATTTCTTGCGGACCGGCAAAAAAGCTTCGCGGACCGGCACCGGTCCGCGGACCGGCGGTTGGGAACCACTGTGTTAGAGTATGTGAGTTAACTCTTCCTACTACAGACATTAGTCTCCAGTTTTATGGGGGTATGTAGCGAGGCTTGGTAAATTGCTTTAATTCAAGTCAGCATTTGTTTTCTAGGCCTATAAATATAAATATATAGACTCAAATACGGTATTGACTAACCGCCAGCCAGACGGACATGACTCAGTGATTGATTTATGGCTGGCACTGGTCTTACGACTCGAATGACTCGCTAATTGACTAATCGACCCGCGACTCGTTTTCTTACGATAAAGCACTGTTATTCAATAGAAGTTGAAATACTACCGTAGCTACTAATGCGTATTTATTTTTTGTCAAAACAACAGCTTTATCAAAGTAACCGAGAAGAGTGGGAAAGACATATCCAACATCAATTTAATTGAAATGATTAGGAATAAACATGAAACGGTATGCATATATTGTTTTATTTTGGCCGTTATTACACAGACTTTTCTTTTGTTGTAATATTAATGCATGCATATCTATAATTTCAGTTAAACTCCAAGAGCACTACAAACACTGATGAAGTGGGCCAACTTTCGAACTTTCCTTATTATTTATGTGGATACTGCTTGTCAAGATGATATTAAAATGAACAATATACATTTTATAATTCCGATTAGTAAATTTGAACAATAAACCGCACAAGGGCCGCTACTGCCCAGTAGTTCACTCATTTTGCGTAATTTAAATTCCCTCAACGGCCTCAAGCACTAAAACGCTCATCTAATATTCTATCTATTGTCTCTCTTCAAAGACTATAAATTTATATTGACGTACATTACGTGTCAATAAATGCCGATTGAAATAAGACTAGATGCAGTTCATATCATTAACATCAGCAACTGTTATAAAATATTGTGAGCTACAAAACTATCTTGTTTGTTAAAACTTCGTTCTAAAGTATATTTGTCTGGTTGGGATACTGACGATAGTATATAAAAGTCAATTGAGTGTTATGGGTTAATAATTTGTCGTACTTACAAATGTTAAAAGTTTAAAATAAAGAACCTTTCATTTTTTATATCTGTAAAAATGCCATGTAACTTTTATTCGTGTGTTCATTTGAACTTCATTAATCATTTTTAGCAATTTCTGCATCAGTTCTAAAAGATACAAATCTAACCGTTACTGGACAAAATATCAAGTTGTAACATTTTGTGTTTACATTCTATCATTTTTTGTACACTTTTCATTATTAAACTTTATTTTTTAGGATCAAATAATGTTTTTCTTCCCAACAAGGCTTTCTGCAGCGGCAACTAATATTTAAGTATAGCTAGTATTTGACATTTCATTCTGGTTTCACAATTGGTATAATGTGAATTTTTACATGAGTTTAAAAGTCCTCCTAATATTTTCAACTAATCTACATAATTGATGTTCAAATTTTATTTCCCAACATAGATACGAGTGAACACGAGTGTTCATTTTTTTCTGATTACGCAATAGTCATTGCAATCTAATGTTTTCTAATCTAATGCAATATGTTTTCAGTTTTCAGATATAATTTTCATATATTATAGTAATGATTAGAATTTTGCTCGGAGTTTCAGGACAATCAGAAGTTTGATCAAATTCTACGACTTCGCAAACTTCAGTTTTTCTTATAATAGGTATGTAATTTTGAACAGACGTCAACACAACCATCTTATACTATTACCTCACTTGATTTCCTATAATTGAATTTCTAAGATTAGATTGGTGACGTATAGAATACATTCGGATAACTACAGCTAGCAAAATCTATATAAAAACAATTTTTGTTTTACACCTGTGTCTTTCATAAATTTTATGAAGTTTAATATGTAAGCAGTTAGCAGCAATTAGCAGAAAAATGCTCAAGTGATGTTACATTGCTAAAATTCTACCATTTTTGATCATAACCGAACCATATAGTTTTAGAATTTACAAAATGTATTCTCACTCGTTCTACAAGTTAATGGCACTCAATTTTATTTCATGCAGAAATGGAACCCGTAGCGATCGCCCGAATAACAGATCAGGGAAAATTTCTTGTTGATAATGATAAACTAGTTGAAATATTTGGCCCACTCAAGGATAAAGATCTGTCAATTATTTCTGTCGCTGGTTCATACAGAACTGGAAAATCGTTCATGCTGAACTTTTTTATTCGATATCTTTGTCAACGCGGGGTGAGTGTAAATAAAGACTTAAAGTTGTACTATAAGAAGACTATTAAAAAAAGTTTCGTAAATTTTGGAATAATTTTTTCAAAATAATCTATATATTCCCGAAAAAATTACAAAAGTTTCACATTAATTAAATTAAAATATTTGAATTTTCAGTGGGAAAATACTCATTGGCTAGGATCTGACGATAAAAAACTACAGGATGGTTTTGATTGGAAACGAGGCTCACATGCTCATACTCAGGGAATCAATGTTTGGCCAGAAATATTTGAAGTTCCTTCGGAAAATGGAAAAATGGTAGATTACTGTTATAATGATAAATTCATTTTCTTGTAGTTTAAACTCCATTTATCACTCAATTTTATCAAGATAATAATTAAGATATAATGTTTTTTGTCTTTTAGTAGGTATTTCATTTTTGAATAGGCAGGATATATTTAATTGTTCTGAAGTGTTATACAATTAAAACAACTTCCAGTGGAATGTCTACAATCTAAAAAATTGAAATCTACTTTCAAATTCTATGCATAAGTACTATAAAAGTCAATATACTTTACAATGTCGGATAACTTGGAAACTCGGACAGATCCAGGTCATGTCTCTATTGGATTTGAAAAGCAAAGTTTTAACATCTGCTTTAGCTTTTTGTTGCCTAATTTTCCAAGCTTGCATGTATAACAATGAATTAAACTACATTTTTGAATGAGAGAGTTAAAACATTTTGTTTCGATGAGCAAATTTGTTTTATTTAATCATTTGATCATTTATGAACAGGTTTCAGTGATGATTGTAGACACTCAAGGTCTGTTTGATAATGATAACACGCCAGATACCAATGCTAAGATCTTGTCAATCAGCACTTTACTTTGCTCGCATCAGATCCTGAATATTCAAAACCGGCTTGATGAAAGAGATCTGGAGCATTTGCAGGTAAATAAAAGTGATCTGTGCTATAATTAAACATAATTAAATTAGAGAGATGGTTATCTCGCAGAGCTGCGAATATTTTAAATCTACAGAAAACTGCACTCTTTCTCGTTATCGTGTGGTCACATACAATATTTCACGTGGCTGCTGATCTGACATGGATTTATGTGCAAGCTTGATCTTGAACTCTTTTGCTATGCTATTTTCTATGACAAATTTATTGCACCATCTGTAAATTTTCAGCTTTCTGTAGAATACGCCTGTGCTGCTGTTGGCCTTTTTAGAGAAAGAGATGGGAGAGGGAAACAAAGAACAACGTTTCAGGTCTGATGGAGTTTCTATATTCTTATTGTTGATATAATTCTTCATCAACATTGGGAACATCAATACATGTTTATAAAGTATTCCATTTTTTTCTACAACAAGGTTTGAACTTTAATATCTTACTGCCCCGGCAATATATAATACTATCAATATTACTACATAAATTCTTACATGATATAACAATATAATGACTGAACAAAACAAGGTTCGAACTCCATATACTTCAATGTACTACTCTTTACTATATTATTTTGGGTAATTCAATATCTTTGACATAGAATTTCACATACGATGTTATCGTTGAATTTTTTTGATTTTTTTTTGATAGAAATTGACATTTCTGATACGAGACTGGGTTAACAATGATGAATACCCATATGGGAATGGAGGTGACGAGTACATGGATAAAATATTAAGAGTGAAATCCAAATCTAAAACCGTAAATGATGTGAAAGAGTCCGTGCATCGTGCTTTTGACGAAGTCAAAGGCTTCCTCATGCCGCATCCAGGACAAAAAGTGTGCGCAGGAGACCAGTCAACACTTAGTAACGCAGGTGGGATACAGGTACTTGTGATGTACATGATGTCCATATTGTCTTCAATTTTTTTAAGTAACGATACCATGTGATGTGTAAAATCCAATAAACCTGGTTAAGGTGTTATTCCAAATCATTCGTATGAGCCTTAATTGAAGTAATTCGAACTAATAGTTGTTTTTTTATCAAGACATCGAACCTATTTTCCGCGAGTACACAATGCAACTGACTGAAGCTACATTGCATCCAAGAAATCTGATTATGAAACAAATGTTTGGAAAGCCGATCTCAGCTAGTGCGTTGATGAATCTTCTTGCGACAGTCAGTAATTCATTTAGAGATGGAAAACTTCCAGAAATCGGAACAATGCTCGAAGTATGCTTTTCCGTGAATATTCATAAGTAAAAGTAAACGCATAATCAACACAATAAAAAGGCAATGTAATTCATTCAAAATATGGAGAAACGTCAATGATGCTGTCCACAACCGTGTGATAGCGTTTTTTATCAATAGTAAATGTTTTGTACTATAAATAGATAAATTTATACAACTCTCTATTAAAACTGAATGGTCGCTCTCACCTGCCGTTTATGCAATGTAGATTCATAACTAAAAAAGAACTTGGATTATTGTACAATCGTGCATAGTACTTCTTTCTAATAATCCATGCTCAACCAGCAACCTTGATGAATAAAAATATAGTTAATTCGTGATCTTTCAGAACACAGTTCGAGCAAATAATGATGAAGCTGTTCAAAGAGCTGTACGCAGATACAAAGAAGTGATGACAGAGGTAAGTGAAATGTTGGAGAATCAAATTGTCAACCAATCATAAATATACTTAAAAATACAATTGTTTACTGTTACCGCGTTTTTAGCTTGTTCATCGGGAAATTTACACGCCTGATGTTCTTCGTGAATTTCACGATAACGCAGTTGGCGAAGCCACACTAACATTTTATGAAATATCAACTTTGGGAGAAGAGAATGATAAAGATAAAGCGCATCAACATGCAATTAAAGAATGTGAAGATTATTACAGAATTGTGGAGCAGGAAAATGAAACAAGAAAGGTGCTAACTTTGATTTCTTCATTTATTTATTTTTTCTATATCCCTGTCCGACCTTGGGAATTAAGCATGTCATGTACCTTCTTCCATAATTAGTTTTATTTTATTTGACATGAATTTACTATTTCAACACAATAGAGAGTTAATAGACGAACTCCAATTACGTTTGAAAAAAATGTTACATATAATGTTATTATTTAATTACGGTAACCGGAACTAAATTAGTACTAATTAAAAGTATGTATTATTTTTCCGCCGCAATATCGATGCTATGTAATCTGTTGTAGAATTTAGAATGAGTCATGTGATGAATTTATATACAATGTTTGAACTTCGGTGTAATGAATTTGTAATGCGACATATTACAAGTTTCTATATTTTATCATAATAAACATTCCCAACAACATTTGATTGTAAAATAATGACTCTGCGTTTAATAAAACGTTGGCCTTTAAGATTTTTGGGCAACAAATTGGTTTCGAAATTATGCCCGTCACATCCCTCAAGTTGTAACAATTGGTTTGGCAAAGCAAACAAAAACACAGGATTGTTTACAAAATAGCAGATGCGTGCACTTGAGTGACTGCCAGTGTATAGGCTTTTGATTTTTCCATTGCTTCATTTCACTCGAACAGATATAAAGAAATATTTCCGTCGCATAAATAGCAGTGGTTTTTTAAAATTTCTTCATTAATTTTATTTAAAATTATTTTATTTTGATTATAATTTTTTCTGTTATGATATAGTCCAAAGTGATAGAAGAAATCAACAACTTATCATCCGCTATGGAAACGCAATACATGGAGACAATGAGGGATTATGTAAGTAACGAATAGGGCAATTATCAATCAAAAAGCTGATTAAATATGTTTGATGTTATTTTCAATCTACACAGGTATTGCGCGACAAAAATAAACAAGTACATATTGCACACAGTAAACACACCATCTGATAACTCATTAGTATTTCCTGTTCTCCATTAATCTTTAAATGGAGAGAAACAGTGTACTAACGTAGTGAATTTATTCAGGATCTCTCGACACTCTCAAAAGAAGATCTTGGAAGTATAAACAATACATTAAGTGATTCAATATTGCTGGAATTTTATAAGCAAACGTAAGGTTGCCAACAAGTCACGAGGAGTGAGGTCGAGAACAAACGGAAAGCATTAGAACAACGCTTATCTACTCATTACGAAATTTTGGAAAAAGGGAGATTACACGAAGAAAGAAAAAAAAAATTGAACCAGGTATGATGTATCGAGAAATTATCAATTTATTCTAACTCAAATTATTATTAACACCAATGAACGGAGCAAAGGTGAATGAAAACTTGACAATGTTATTTTATTTAAAATGAAACGACATTACAATTTGTAATCATTTATACATGAATTAACCTAATTACCCAACTAAAACCACACTGGAGCACTTTACTATCGGTGTCGATTTTGACATAAATGTCTTAATATTTTTCAGCAAATGGATATACTGGGAATCAATCAAGTAGCGAGTGACGTTTTTTCCAAGTTTCAGCAAGCATTTTCTCGGGTAAATGTTATGCTTAGTGCTGCAAATAATAATATATTATTTAACTCACAATAGAAGGACATCTCTAAACTGTCAAATTAATTAATCGGTTTAACGCAGACAAATAACGTTTATTACATTTTTTCAAGTGTGGAGACGAATACTGCTTGGACATTGAAAGTCTTCAAAAGACCGAGTACGAAAAATGCTTGGAACAGTATGATGCACAAACAGCCAAATATGACGACTATGCTACAGTGAAAAATACTCGTGAAAAACTGTCTAGAAACATGGAACAACATTTTACTGATCATGTCAAACGTGTCAATGAAAACAACAAGGTATTGGAAATTACAAAATTGATGTTTTTCTTCTACATGTCATTTTTAAAATCATAGTGTATTTCGATTATGTTCGAGTTTTCAAATTACTTTTAACGTAAACAAATACAAATATACAAATAATTATATATGAATCTTAATCTGAATTTATCACTTTCCCCTAAATTGAATTATATATCTTTTTCGTTCTGCGAAAATAGATACTTTCTCTTAATTAAATAGGTAGAACGAAAATTAGAAAACAGCATCTTCAATCATTGGTACTGCAACTAAAATTGGGGGATAAATTGGTGATACAAATAAAACTAGCAGTTTTTAGAAGTTCTGTGGCCCACTTCGAAATCTGTTCATAGCCCAGCAGTAGTAGTAGTGTGGCCCAGTAATATTGTTTAGAACCAGTAGTTTAGTCATTTTATTATTAGAGTGTAGCTAAGCTATTTGGAAACTGTTTTGAAATATCTTAATTCGTGTAGTAATGCATATAGTATTAACACTATGGTAAACATAAAGTAAACTTGAGCCTAGAATCCAACTATACCATATTTTAATTTTTTCAGAGAGACTTAGATTAAAATATCAAAGGCACGTTGAAGATATAGTGAATGAATATGATCGGATGATGAAACAGGTATTTTAAACAAAAATCTAAATTAGATATGATGGTTCCTATTTAAAGAAAAAAGTTTGAGTTGTTGTCGTATTTTTTAACATAATATTTGCACTATGCTGTAAATTTTAAATCCTACTTTCGGATCTTTACCTCTAATCTTTACCCATAATTGCTAGCAGGGTTTGAGATGCAAGATAATGTGGAAAAGATTAATTGTCCGCTACGTGAACTGTTCTCGGCCTCAAAAATGTTTATTTTGGTTGTATTATTTAAAATCTGAATATTATAATTGGCAGAATATTAATTCAATGGCATCACGATGGCAAAATTTCAAAAGTGTTTATTTGTATTTGTTATTATTGTTATATGTTGTTTGTTATTCATTAAAAAAAAAATCATCTTTTCTAATAAATGATTTTTATTTGATTTTGTTTGTAAACCATTACATATGATATTATTCCAGATTACTTCAGATGGTATATGAGAAAAAAATAATGATTTCATTCAAAAACATGACGGATACAGAGAAAAAGCTTCGAAAGACTTCAATGGATTAATTGCGCATATGTAAGTTTAAATTAATATAAACAAGGTATGGTATCTTAGCAGAATGCAATGAAATATATTTGAGGCATAAAAATGAAAAAATAGAAAACAAATTTGGTTAATTGAGTCACTACGATAAAGTTGCCGCTGTTAGCAAATGGGCAAGATATTTCAGTTGTGATGTTATATTTTAAACTCCACAAAGCTCGAAGTCATCAACCGATAAATCCCTAAAACGTGACTCATAGCTTTGTAAAAGCCTATGCTATAGTTCTATTCAGCGTATTACACGAGATGATGCTAAAGGTCAAGTCTCCACTCGTAATTTGTAAATGCGACATATTGGCTAAAAATTTGTAGAAAACAATCTTAAACTCGAGTGTTATTGTTGCCAATATATGATTAAGAAACAATTATAATAAATCAATATTAAATTTATTATTAGTATTAGTAACAACCCAACTCTTTTATTTTAATTTAGAAATCCTTGTCTTCCACATGAGTATGTGCAAGTGTACAGACAAAAATTGGATATAAAAGTGAAAGAGAGATTCAATAGCATTCACAAGCAGAGCAATGACAATAACAGACATTTACAAGAAATGAAGGAGGTAGAGCTTTTTTAATTTCAAAAATTTATTCATTGAGTGAAATTTAAAAGCATACAATAATTGTATATCAAAATTTTGTAGCAAAAAATCATAGCACAATATTCATTGAACGATTTCACACATCTAGATCATTATTTATCAATCATTATCATATTTGTGACGTAAGACGGAAAACTATAACTGTAACACAATTTTTGCTGTTAATATGAATTCTCTTCTATCTGCGAACTTATCAGTTGGTTGATGCTGACTAGTTTCCTAAATGGGATTGTTGCGTGTTGTTTCGTCTCCTTTTATTTCTCTTCAATTTTGGGTTAAGTTATTCTATTTAAAGGCGTTGGGGATTTCTCCGTTTTGTGGATAAAGTTTCTAACTTTATTTATTACTTTTTTGGAAATTAGGTTCATTTTTGCCCAATCAGACACTAGTTCGTTTCGTTTTTGATAAGAAAATTTTTGGTTGAGCAAGATTTTTACTATTTCCGGTTTATACCATCGGCGCAGTATTAGGGTCAAATGTATTGTACATATATTGTAAAATAGAATGGAATGACGTAGATTTTGTGACATTGTCTCGAGAATATGAGATCATTGTTTTATGCAGGTGGGGAAAATATCAGTGTTCCTCCGAGAATTAAAGTTCACATTCAACAATTAGTTCAGTGCATATTTGATGATTTTGCGAAGTAACTATTGGAATTTTGTTACAAACAATGACATTTTCCTGTACTTCTGTCATCATATATTTTAGGACTTTCAAATGACTTTGAAATGAAAATTGAATAAATATTGTTTATTTATTTGCAGACAATGAAATCTGGTCAATTTGTTCAGGAAGCATTAGATATTTATGAAACGGAAATGAATAAGGTAATCAATATCAATACGCGAGTATAAATTCAGTCATTAAAAACCTGGACTGTTTATCAATTTCTTTCCAACAAGGCCGCCCTACTCTTGAGTCATTGAGTTTCAACATGTGTTTAATCAAATTAATATTGAGACACTTGAAAAGTAAGACAATGATTTCTAAAAAATATTGATTGTTAAAAGTTTTTCTAGTAAAATTAAAAAATTATGAAAATAGTGAATCTGAAGTTTTTTACAGACCTAAATAATGTTAGATGGAAACATCAAAACATAGTAAAAGGCAATTAGTTATATAATACCGTTTCGAAAGCTATAATTTTTGGCCATGTTCTCTTGTACAAATTTCGTTTGCTAAAATGAAGTGCAATATCACGGAAAAGTTATGAATCACACTGTTTCATACATTATAACTTATTTTAGCTTTTGATCAATGGTGCAAGCTGCGATAACCTACAAGCAGAAGACTCAAAATTTCAAAAGATGGCTAAATACAAATTCAAGGAGCTTTGTTCAAGCATGTGAGTGGTGAATGATATATTTTTATACGGCGCCTATTCGAGCCTATGCCTTGAACAAGCCTCTATAGACTATAAGAGCCTTTGTTATAAAACAATGTAGAGACATATAGGTTGATGATATTGAAACTACAACCAGTGTTCGACGAGAGACCGGTAGGTGCGTCACAAAAATAACAATAGAGCTATGCTCAAATATTTGGACACGTAAACTATACAGTGGCAAATTTTGATGACGTCATAGGACATAAAAAGAAAAAAACGAATTCCATATAGCTCACAGGAATATTTGAAATAAATAAAGTAATAGCTTTCTAGCGAAAAATGTTTTCATTGAGCACTGAAAATTTCAAAGCGATTTGTCCAGTAATCAAAGAGATAAGTAATTTTTCTGTGACAAAAAGCAACAAGAACAAGAAAGAGACCAACAGCAACTGAACATTAAAACGATCCAAAGGTCCACTTACGTGTCCAATAAATTAAGTAGATTTTGTAAAGTTTCATAATTCTGAAATTCGTAACTACGGGATACTATGTATGTTGAAGATAGTACCTTGATGCACAATGTTAGGACTAGGGCGTAGTGGAGAATATTTGAAAGGGATTAATGCTCTAGTTATTCGAATTAATAGCTTTAGGAACAGTTTCCGGGATTACGCCACTTCTTAAAAGATAAAACTTTTTCACAAAATCTTTTTTTCATTTGTACAAAATTTTTGAAAACTTTAATTGCATTGGACGTAGCTTTCGGTTACGTTGACTTAGCATATGGGTAAAATTGTTGTCTTCTTATTTACTTTGTGAAATTAATCTAAAAATGATACCTGAATTCGTATATTAATTTATTATGATTTTGTCTCTAAAACAGTACCATGGTCTAAAATCTAAATGTTTACTAATAATAAATCATCCGGTCTAGAAAAAGTTTGTAATATATCTTGAGACCATGAAATATCAACGTATTGATTAAAATTGAAAAGTAATGTAAAGTTATGACGTGCTTTGGAGGGCTGACACCGAGAGACTTAACAAAGCGTTTCGCGGTGTATCAAAACGGGAAAATCGAAAATTAGATTACTTAGCGCCAAGACGCCGACGGGGCAATTGATGTCACACCTATTATACACGCAATATGACGGCGACTTCACTATCAATTATGCAATAACTAGTCCAATTTTTATTGTCATTTTCAATACCCCATTACTCGCCAAACATCAGGGCCACTTTTACTCGTAAATTTTTAGAGACGTATGCTCCCATTCTTTACCGCGAGTAAAAGTATTATTATATTACTCTCATTTGTGATGCAATACCAGGCAATTAGTTGATAGCATATTTGTTAATCAGAAAGAACGGGCTCAAAAAAGTTAAGTTTTGGTTTTGAATAATTATTTTCAAGAATACGAACGTACTCTTGTGTGAATTCAATCTGCAATCGATGCTGAGTAATTCATAATGGTATTTATGAAAATATTTGACTTAATAATGTTTGCAAAATAAAGAAAGAATCATATACTGGACAGATTGCTCCACATACAACTAGGGCTGGGCATTTTCGAAACACTGGTGTTTCGAAATCGAAACGAAATTTTGCGGTCGAAACCAAATCGAAACGAAACGAAACACACGTTTGTCACAGACAGTAAAACATGTCACCAATTTAACCCAACGAATTTAATGTATGTATAATGGACAATGGCACATATTTTCCAGGATTAAAACACAAAAAGAAAGTACTGGTGGCTAGTTCATGGTGAGCATGAACCGATGATGATAATTCCACGATGGATTCTGCTTAATGACAAAGCAGTGACCAAATGGCACCAGAATAATACGATTTACGTCATTGTTAGAGATGTAGCTCACAAGCAGCATGGAATATGGGGCTCTCAACGTATCAATGCTCATTTTCTACTTTATCCGACGCCACAGATCCTCGTGATCCAGTACATTGTAAAATATACTTTTTAATCTGAATTCCGAATACATTCTAAACTCCAGAAACATAGGAAATGGGCTTTCATGATATTATCATTGAGTGAAACTAGTTATTTTTGCTTTAGGAAAATGGTCTTAAAAAACATTACAGTAGTTATGAATTGCGGCCTATCTTGCTAAGCACAGAAAGAAGAACAACTAGGCGCCCAGAGAAATGTTTTAAATTATACAGTAAAAATAACATTAACTCATTGACTGTTTATCGTCGACGTGACATCGACATCGTTCAACTAGATTCCTAATATTGACTGTTGTGCTACTGGGGAGAATTGATTTTTATTTTGCTTATAACGCGATCATTGTCGTAATCGAATGAGTGGACCCGATTAACAAATTTCCATCCACCAATGACGGAGAATTGAGACTGAAAATCGTGTTTTATTTTTCTTAAAGGCAGCTCTGATTTAAATATTTCATGTCGACTGTTGTGCTTTTATTATTGTTTTTTAAATTAATACCACAAACTTAAACTGAACGATATTATTATTAACGACGACAGTCTAACAATAAAATCTGCGATAGATATTAAATAATATTTAGGAGCTATTTCATATGAGGTAAATGCAAGAAATGCTCGATCACTATTGCCGCACTAACACTGACTATCTCGACAATGTTGAAATATACGATATTAATTGTAAAATATTTTCGATCAAAAACTTCCCCGATGTGTTATAAATACCGCAAGTCGGCGCTGACTTGAATCATTTCATGTGGGCAGTCATTTATTGCGCGTCGCAAAGAGTGTATACGATTACGATAAAACATAAAAAATGAAATAATTGTTAAATGTCCCAATCAAAACGTGGACGGCGGCGCTAGGACTTGTGCGCGATATTCAATATTCTTCTAAACACTAAAAACGATAATATTTGAGAGTCGCAATATTCTAATAAATTCGGATATTAATTTCGAATTGGACATCGCTGAATAATACCTTGACTGATTTCTGGTTGCATTTGCTATGACCTCATGATATCCGTTTCGGAAGTCGAAACAGCGCCGTTTCGACATATCAGTGTTTCGAAATGTATCAAAACAGTGTTTCGAAACGCCCAGCCCTACATACAACATAGTATTACTAATGAACAATAACCATAAAATGAAATGTGTTTAAATATAATACGAGAGGTCACAACAAGTCGCAAACAAAGTAGCGTGTGACTATATTTGTCAGCTTAACTGTATGAATTAATTGAATATTATTTTAGTTTACCAAATGGATTATTTGATTTTCAGTATTCGATAATTATTTTATTTAATGGTCCATAAATGTTAAAATTGAGTTAGTTGTTCATTCAAGTTTGTTATCAATTTTTTACCCAAAGTTAGCCGCAAAATAAAGAATCGTATAATCGATAGAGTGCTTCACTCCCTTCGTCGTCGATGCGCGTTGTATTGGTCAGACGTAGGCTTCGTTATTGCTAATAATAAATAAAGAGTTTTATATCAATGAATATTGTCTTAGTGTATATACTAATATATCATTTTGTTGAATTCCCTAAGCTGCTCGCTCTTAGTCCTAAAAGTACATTGACATCGTATCAATTTAAACAACTTAACAGTCCTTACCTTCGACGCTACTTGTAATCTCAAAAAATTTCCCGAGTTTCGCGTAGCAAAAATTTACAGAGCTAAAATGGACAGCCAGTGTGTCCCATGGATGAAAATAATACAGCGAAATTTTGGACGAAAATCAGATTTCATGCAAAATTTAGAATTAAATAAAATTATAGCCTTCTAGAGAAAAATTCCATCTTCAACCACTGAAAATTGCAAAGCAGTTGATCTAGTAATCAAAGACATAATCGGCTTTTTTCATAATGATGAAATGCTGTACCAAAGAACAACAAAAACAGTAACATAATATCAAAACGATCGCGTTTCGCGTAGCAGGAATTTACAGAATCAAAATGAACAGCCAGTGCTCCTTTGGATAAAAATAATACCTCGAATATTTGGACGAAATATCAGATTTCATGCGAAATTTAGAATTAAATAAAAGTAATAGCCTTTTTAAGAAAAATTATATCTTTAACCACTGAAAATTTCAAAGCAGTTGGTCCAGTAATCAAAGAGAAAAGCAATTTTTTCATAACGATGAAATTCTGTGTCAAAGAACAACAACAACAACAACAACAAAAACAAAAACAATATAATAAAACGGTCCATAGGTCCACTTACGTGTCCAATAATGTATCAACCAAAACACGCCAATTATGTACAATTGTTCTAAATCAAGATCACTCTAAAGAAAGTGATACGCTTCATTCAAATATTTTTTGCGTAACCAATCGGTTGTCTAGTGGCAATAAAGTTCAAATCAACACATTTAGAAGGAATTCCTTATAAACTCGGTGTACCGGCATTAAATCTATTCGGAGCGTCATCGACCCGCGGACCACAACGGTTAGAAATTATAGCACATATCGCCCAATGAAAATGATGAAAAGAATTGAAGAATTTACCAAAATTATATCCTCAATTTACAAGCTTTATTGGGACTTAAACACATAATTTAAATCGATACAGCTCAAAATTATACAGAAACACAAATTGGATATTAGCGCGAAAACGACAAAAACACACTGGTTAAATTGTGCTTATTTAAAATATTGGCCTCATTAGGATTAATGGCATTTATATCCTACTAAAAGTTACTCAATTTCAGTGTTTTGAATATTTTTCTGTATATTTTGTGCAGAAGTTGTGACACTGCAAATGATCTTAAAAAACTAAAATCATTGATGGATAATAGATTTGAAATATTCAAGACAGTAAATAATAACAACAAGGATGCAGCTTTCGAAAAAAAGGTAATTATGAATATAGCTTTTGTTTGTTTTTTCAATGTTTAAAAATTCTTGTAAAATTGGCAAATTTTCTTCCAGCGTTATCAATTGTTATTTTCATATTTATTGATCTGGGGCGCCATTCGCCAAACTTATTTATCGT